CCCAGAGCCGTCTTCCCCTCCATCGTGGGCCGTCCCCGCCACCAGGTACACAAGAGCATCTGTTCGAAAACAATATTAAACATAAGATTTGTCTATTCCCATCCCTTCATAAAAACGAGGTCTGATCCTTGAGATTTAAGCTACTATATGTGTGACATTTATATCAATATAATTGTTTCACTATGTCACAGATTTAAAAATCTGCAGTAGTTAAGCAGCGAACCAAAAGGTTAAAGTCAGCTTTGTTTCGGTGCTTGGTATATATTCTNACAGTGATGCACGAGCATTTAAAACGCAAGCACCCTGGAACCGTGAGGACTGCTACTTTGGATCATGGGTAAGTTTGAGCAAGTTAGCCATAGTCATGTTTACGTTAGCTTACATGTTGGAAAACAGAAACATGACTATGGCTAACTTGCTCAAACTTACCCATGATCCAAAGTAGCAGTCCTCACGGTTCCAGGGTGCTTGCGTTTTAAATGCTCGTGCATCACTGTAGTGCTGCCGTGGAATGCCAATTCCCCTTTACAAATTCTGCATTTCACTGACTTCTTTGGCTTGTCGTCTGTGAAATACTCCCACACTTTCGAAACTCTCGGTCTCGCTTTTTTGAGGTCTTCATCACCCTCATTCTCTCTCCTTTCCGCCATCGTTCGTATTCTTTCTTCTTTGTTGTTAGTACAGAATGCAGTCATGGCAGACAATGGAGAGTATACTGCCCCCAGCACTTCCTGTAGTGCATTGCAGTTACAAATGAACATTTGCACAGTTTTGAATTAACGTTACCGGCTCTCTGATTGTTTTTATACGACGACACTAAAATTCCGCGTCGACGAATTTTTATGATCGACGTCGTCGATTATGTCGACTAATCGTTGCAGCCCTAATTGCAGGGTAGAACCAACTGTTTAAACAGTGAAATGCACATTTGAATTAAAACAGTTTAATGCACTTTTAACACTCATGTACCCACGATTCCAGCTCCTTTCCTGGGTTATAAAGTGAGATGAAGCAGGGTAGAACCAGTTGTTTAAGCAGTCAAATGCACATTTGATAACCCTCTTCTGCCGGGGGTCCTGCCGACCCTATGTCATGTTCCGTTGGAGGTCCAGCTGAGAGTCCTGCCAATGACGTGTCCTGTCTCGCCGGGGGTCCTGCCTACTCCTGGTCCTCTTCCATTGGGGATCCTGCCGAAGCCTGTCCCACCGGCTCCGGTTCCTGTCCGGCCGACATCGGGTCCTGCCCGGCCTCCGGAGCTGTCCCGTTAGCGCCTTCCTGCCCATCCTCCGGAGTTGTTCCGTCGCCACCTGCTTCGCCCTCGAGCCCGGCCCCCTGAGAGCCGCGGTCTTCGGCTTCCTGCACGGCCCCCCGAGTGCTGCGGTCTTCGCCCTTGAGCCCGGCCCCCTGAGTGCCGCGGTCTTTGCCCTCGAGCCTGGCCCCCTGAGTGCCGCGGCCCCCTGACTCTTCCTGCCGCTGCCTTCGACCTCATGCTCGGCCCCCTGAGTTCGCCCACTGTGGCCTTCGCCCCTCCATGGACTCTGCCTTGCTCCCGGGCCGTCCGCCCGAGACCCCCTCCATGGTCTCTGCCTTGCCCCCGGGCCGTCTGCCCGAGACCCCCTCCATGGTCTCTGCCTTGCCCCCGGGCCGTCCGCCCGAGATCCCTTCCGGGTCCTCCGCTGTGCCCCTGGGTTATCAGCTCAATCCCGTCCTCCTGACCCCCTCCATCCACCCTGGTGGGCCTAGTGATGCGGTAATTGCTTTACATCTACTGTTTTTTTGGTACCACTTTACAATAAGACTACCCTTATAAAGTGTAGTAACTCACGGGAGGCTTCTTGTGAGCATAGAGGAGTTTATTGGTTTCTGGTAGAACCGAACTGCGACTCAGGTTCACCACATACTTAGCATAACAACCTAGCCCATAGTTATTCTTCTATGCTTATTGAACGGCAACAACTTCAATGTCGCAGTGCCACCTAGTGGACTGATGAACTAACATGCAATATACTGTATATATGACCTTACAACAGTTAGTGTTTTGTTTTCTACTTTATTTTCTCGTCTCTCACTACCTCTGTGCAAAATGACTGCTGGAACATTTCATTCCAGCAGTGTCCTGTCTGTTGCAATAAAAGCTCAGTTTAGTGATGGGCATGGTTTAGGATTGAATCACTCTAAGACATAAACAGTGAGTTTGTATGTGTTTGCAAAATATATTTGGAGAAGTGTTGAACCAGCAGCATTCCCATTCACCTTTAAGGATGTAAGTTACCTCCAAAAAATCCTATCCTATAAAATAAAGTTCTTGAAATTAGATTACCTGGCTTTCCACCTTTAGATTTGCTGGGTATTCACCATTGCACTCTCTGATTCCACTAGATTGTTTCCTCATACTGATTTAGGAACAATAAATCCGTCTCTTGATATCATCGTAGAGATACATGGTGGCTTTAAGCAATAAGGTTGCTAAAGGAGCATAACATTGCCATGAACTGTTGTGTACATTGGTGCATGCCCCACAAACCAAACAACTATAGATCATAACCATGGGTGCTCGAGCTTTCAGCTGCTCGGCTCCCAGACTCTGGAACTCCCTGCCACTACACATCCGACAGTCTGATTCCATAACAAGCATTCAAACCGCAACTCAAAACCACCTGTCAACTGGCATTTTCTTTATAAAATCTGCTACCCGTGTCCTTTTGGTCCTTTTGTAGTCAGATTTCTTCTGTTGTTTGTCTTGTCTTACCCCGCTGAACTTCCCTAAACCACTGTTTTTAATTTGTAGTTAAAAGTGTAAAAAAAATGTGTAAATGTTAATTGTACATTTGTAAACCTGTAGTGTGTCCTTGGGTGTTATGAAGGCGCCCCCCAAAATAAAGTATTATTATGTATTCTTATATTATTTATATCTATTATAATTATGAGAGGACCTGACCAACAGAACCCCTGAGGCCCAAAAGCCTTGTGTAAGGCATAATTGCTGTTATTGAGTTTCCCTATCTTCTCAACTGTTCTGGGACCCAGCTTTCATTTAAGTCCAGGTAAAGCAAAAATAAGTGTGTTTTGGTTTGTCACACGCAATACTTTGGTTGTCATTAACCGTAGCTGCAGAATGTTGTAATTATAAAGAAGGACATTGCCAAGATTGTCAATTTAGTTTCAAAATGTGGAAAAATAAGCATAGCCTTCGTAACTGCTTCCAAGCCAGGATTTTAGGCTAACTCAAAAAACTCTGATACAGAAACAGTGGAAAGCAGGTCTTGAATCTTCTCATTCCGTTACATTTGAATGACAAATCAAATGTATTAAGAAAAAATGATTAACAACAGAAAACTTGTTTTAGTCCAGCATAAGGAAGTGACTGTCGTTCTGTAAACAAGTGGGAAAGACAGAAATCATTATCATGAAATAGAATCATTAGTACTTAGAGAAGTGCGTATTACCCCACGACACACAGCAACCAACAACAACAACAACACCACAGGCTTACCTTTCAACACTCAAGGCCTACAGTGTATTATATCGGGCATCTCATAAGAACTATTCAGATCATTAATTATTTTCAAATTGACAGGTTCTGTGTCAGTAAACAGCGAGGGGGGCTTTAATATTCCTCGGGAAGCTGCTCCGGTTTTACAGTACCAGTCAATGATGCTGATGTTGCTAGTATTTGTAGAGCTTAGCAGACAGTACCAGTAATCTGAATAATATGATCAAACTTATATCATATTGCTGTTGTCAATGACCATTGCTCGGGACAGTCGGTACAGGCTGCTACACATTGCTGCCAGGGCGATTTTTTTATTATTAGGTGCTAAAGGAGGTCGTCTCATATATTAATGCAGCTTTAAATGGAACTTAACTAGTTCAGCCGGGTATTATTGCACTGGATGTTAGGTTACGTCTGGGCATTGGTCCCTTCATTCTAATTGTCAGCAGATGCTGTGCATTTCTGATAACCGCCCTGTTTTCTGAACACATACTTCGTCAAATTTTTTTTAATTTAAGCTCAAGTTGTCTATAAATGGTTGTGTGGATTAGTATTATTTAAGTTGAAGTAGTAGGAAGTGTTAGGTTATTATCCTAACAAAATCATCTTCCAAATCATAATTTGATTATCTTTACGTATATAAACACAGTAAAGATTATCATAGGCCTACAAATGAATTCATGTATCCTGGCTGTTTTACTTATACTGTCATGCACTCATCTATTGTTTTTCGCCAGTTAGTGCGTTTCGACTGGTGAGAAACTTTATGAATTTATCACTAGGTTCAGTAAAAAGCTAATAGAAGTAACCAATAACATTGTCTACAGTGGCACGTGTGTATTTAAAGCTGAACAGCATCTGTGTGCGTTAACCTGTGTGAGTTGTATTTGTTAGATAAGAGTTCAATTGCATCTACATGATTTTGTACTTGTTTGGCCAAAGCTCCAGAGTGACGAGTGAGTTATTCAGCATGTTCCTTGGTCGGTGCTTGCCTGATGTTGACGAAGTTGTGTGTGGGTTCTGTGAGTGATGAAGCATGTGCAGAGCCTTGAGGTCAGGATAATGTGCTGTAATAGATATGTCATGAGTGCGAAGGCCCACATTGCAGCATATATGCATTCATGGGGCATGGGTGTTATCTTTTGCCTGCGCTGCCTAGTACGGTGCCATGTTTTGTGTGCTGTATGGTGCGAACCATGTGGTTGGCGTCGCGTAGAGACCAGCTGCTCTCTGCAACAGCTGCCATCAGGATGGCGGATGCGCGAATTCTTCACGTCGAGCGATTCTTTATGGAGAGAGAAGAGA